CCGCATCTAAAATAGTATAAATAGAAGCAGAGTTCTTTACGGTAAGCCTTCTCCGTAAGGATTACCATAAGGAACTGTCCATCCCCCATGTTTAACGGAATAATATACAGCCTATGTCCACCCTGAAGTTCCATTCTAAATATTGGTGAAAGAATTTTTGAAATCGGATGAGTAGTTTCGGAGATTACCTGCAGCATACAAACTAACATACATACATACAAACATTACCTCTTTATAATATTAGTATAGATTACCCAATATAGGTTACTATTTTAATATTATTGTTTCCTCTACTTTTTATTTTTAAAATTTTTATTTTACTTTATAGTCCGAAGGATAATGATGTTGCATGTGATGTAATAATGATATTTAAAGAAGAATTTAAAGGTTACGAAAGAATAAATAAAGGCGACTCGTGTTATCCAGCTGAAAATGCTAACTATTGTCTTCTTCATCCTAATTTGATCCTTTCAATAAATGATCTACAAACTGGTATAATTTTAATTAATATTTCATCAATAAGCTTAATATTACTTATTTCATAATGGAATTTTCAATTTTAGCCGAAATAGTCGAATTTGATAATTGCGACGATCGAATAAGAGAAAGCTTTTGCCCAGGAGTAGCGAATAATTGTACAAGCAAGCATCCAGGCTATGATTGTTTATGTAATAAAGGCTTTAAGGCAATAGAGACATTTTACAAACCCGGTACTAAGTACCAGTATTGTGAAGGTAAAACTTTTATTTATCGGTTTATCTGTTTGCTGTCAAGTTTTTAAAAAATACATAGAACGTAACAGTTAAATTTTTACAGATATTGATGAATGTCTTGATGCAAATATTTGTGGGAGTAATTCGAACTGCATTAATACTGTTGGAAATTTTACATGTTCCTGTATAGATGGATTTGTACGAAACAAGAATAAAAATGAATTCGAATGCGAAGGTATCACGATATTTAATTACTTAATAAATCATTTTGAATTTATATGACATAGTACGAATTGACACGTATTATCATATTTTTCCGTAGAAACTTTTTTCACATTGTTGTTTAATTTTATGGCATTTCTTTCTTTGAATATGAAATGTTTCTTTCATCATATGTATTGCACATTCATCTCCAAAGTCTGCAATAAAAATCGTTATTTCACTAAAATAGAGTAAAACATTCTTACATAATTTAGACTAAATCATATCTAAAATAATCATTTAGCTTGCATTTGAAATGTATTATCATATCATTTTACTGGATTATTTTCCAGGGCTATGGAGTCGGTAGATTTTTATACAAGTCCGACTAGGGGCAGACTTGCTAACAAAATAGGCCCGGAAATTCTGACATCATCACGTGACCTCAGAATATAAACTTCAATAAATATAGTTCTAATAAAGATAGAGCATAGAAATTTTTTTATTCCAAAGCTAAAAGACTCCCGTAAGTAACGACATAGTCAATATATAAACATGTGTTTGATAATTTTTCTTTTTCCGGCTGTTATATATAACAGAGGAAAAGTGTAGCGATCGGTCAAAAAATGACCCCCCCCAAATTTTTACATTTTTGGAGTCAGGACACCTCGAAATGTCGAGATATGCAAAAGATTTAGATTTTTTTCTGTATTTACTGATGACTGTGTGGGGGGCACGATTTTGAATCAGAGTCGGATGATTTAACGCAGGAGTTATTAAGCTTCAAAATGGTTGCACTAAATCGTTTGGTACACATTCTAACACCCGTACTTATAGAAACAAACTCGTGCTTATACTGTAGATGTTTTTGCACTTATCTAGGTTTCAAGGATTCCCGAGTCAAAAAGAGTAAAAATCTAAGAAAATCATTTTTTGACTGTATGACAGCCGGGATCGTCATTTTTTTCCTTTCTTATGGCCCTTTACTGTATAACAGCCAGGAAAGTAATAATGATGACGATTATGATTACTTTTTTAAATACAAAATAAAACGATTTAAAAAAATTAAACAAAATTTGACACATCTTAATATATAAATTCATATTTATTGACTTGTTTGATGATGGCAATGGTATTTAGTAAGCATGTATAAAAATAGTAAATATATTCGTACACAAATTAGTTTAATAGAAATGTTGTACATAATATACGAGTATATTATGTAATATATAATTATGCACATACATTAAATTAAGTCAAGAATAAGAAATATAATATTTAGACTGGTAAACAAAAAGGTTGCTTATTTTGCCATGTTAATTAATTTATTATTTTACATCTCTGTTATAAACTAAATTGCTTTTTTTTAAAAAGAATCGTTTCTATTAAGTCAGCATTCTCGAAAACTCTTAAATCATATTTAATAATTTTAAAAGCGGAAAATAAACGCTCTACTGAAACTTGAGTTGGTGGATAATGTCTGGATAGTGCTTGTAATCTTGGATAATGTCTGGATAGTGCGGTATCGCCGTTTTAACAACCAAACTTGAAGAATGATCAATATGATTTATGTTCTCCAGTGCATTGTAAAATTATCTTTAAATTTTGTAAGATTTCATTTTCTGTCTGTACTCATATTAAAACTCAAGCTTCATTTTGAGGGTAGAGACGAGTTTTATAAAAAAGAAAAAAAAACTAGCAGATGTTGCTCGGGCAAAAAGAAACGATAACGAAGATTAAGATTATTAGATTATAACCGATTTTACCCGTTTTCACCGGGTGCAAAAATTAGGTTCCCCTGTCTTCCGAGACTAATTAGAGAATTTTTAATTGGGTCTAAAAATATGTTCGATTTTCCGCAAAAATGCAAATACCGCACCTAAATTAATACAATAGAAGCCGAGTTTTTCAAGATCATTCTTAAGTCCAATCACACTGGAGATATGATACATGACCCCTTTTATGTCTACACCCTGTCGACTTTTAATTACAAACCAAAATTTAATATCATTAATACCCCTTTATACACATGCTACCGTGTCAAATTTCGTTTCTTAAACTTTACTTATTCTGAGATACCGTTTAATATTTAAGAATTTAAACAAGAAATTAAACAAATTACACTCCAACACACACCCGCGCGCTAATTTTTCCCTTTATTTTATATTTTTTGGGTTCGAGAGATCTTCAAACGTGTACAATTACAAAAACTCGAAGGGACAAATGTGACACGATTCAAATACTTTTTCGTTTTATACACATAACAAGTTGGGAAAGTAAAAAACACAGTCGGAGTCGGCAGATTTTTGACGACTCCGACTCCGACTCCACAGACCTGTTATTTTCAACAATAAACCTTCAAGAATCATCGCTTAAGTTTGCCAATAATTAGTTGAAAATTAATACATAGGACTAAATCGCTTAAATTAATAGATTGATAACTCACATCGGTTATATCACGTTATCTAATATATCGTTCAATTGGGTTAAGGTCCATTTGTGGCGTAACCGTGCAGTGTCCGCTCAGTGCAGTGATTTTTTGCCCGTCAGAAATCGTTAACTCTGCTTTAGACCAGACTCGTCTGTCACAGTGCCGTGCAGTGGCAGTGGCGTAACCGTACTATAAAAGTACGTTTGACCGGAACGATATTTTTACTGACAGTAAATTTTGTTTTCCAATGGATGACGAACATTTGAAATGGTGCATCAACACCCTGTTCTATTTGATTATCTCATTCGAAATACATGGTCATTGAGTACAAAATTAATATTTCTCTGTTTTGTTCAATAAAATATGAAATGCATGTTGGGACATTCGAAAATATTCAAAAATTTTACATTCGTTATCTATTAATTTTTTATAAACGGTATGAAATTCCTTTTCTATTGACCTTTATGTCCATGCTTCATGTACCCATTTGCAGCGCTTTTTTGATTGCATTTCTTTTTCTTCTTCATCCAAACATATATAGTAGCTATCATAGCCAATTCATCTTCAAAAAAATCTATGACCACTCACCGAGACCATGGTCACGTCACTCTTGTGTGTAAATACTCATCATTGTGCCGTGCTGGACGTCACTCTCACGAAACGGTCACTGTGCCTGCCAGCACGTCACTGTTGTGTGTAAATGGACCTTTATCTTTCGCCAAGCGCGATACATCCAGAGGCTACTGTGTTTACTTTGTTGATGAATAATAATACTTGTAAATATCTTTCATTATTTTATTTTAAGCATAATTTACTTTGCATTTTATTATTCTAATTTGTAATCTAAAGTAAATTGCTAATAGTTTCAGGAGAGAGAAAAACACGTTATGTCTTAAGCATTGTTGGCTACGTCCTTGGAACAGTTTTGTTACTTTCATTATTATTTATAATTATACTAGCAATTAGGTAAGTTTGTTTAATACGAAAATATCAAAGTCAATGTTGTTTACCTAGATTTTAACTTAATTTTATATATTAAGGTTAAGAAAGCAATCTAAAATCTCTCAACGTTCAAATGAATCGCTAGAAAACTTGGATGGCAGATCTGTCAATCAAGGAAGTTCACATGTAAGTTTAAACTTAACATATTTATGAATTTGAAGTGTTATGACATACTTATGACACTTGCTTATTAATAAAATAGGAAATATTATTTCAAGAACGTACTCACCATGAAACTAATCCTGTATCAATCCCTCGTGTGAATCGATACAGAAAACAACTGCGTAATCCCTCTGTGCGCCCGATCGAACATTACGAGGACTATCCGTAATCATAATTTACACTTTAATCATTTTTAATTGTAAAAAGCATTAATAACTTGAAAATAAAATTACAGTATTTAAAATATCGCTTTTGTATTTAAGATGATCAAGATCGAATATTACTCATTTTATAATGACATTATGAAGGTAATATGTCTATTAAGAAAATTATTTTGTCAGTCTCATTTATTCACTGTACTTATGGCCGGCGCCAGGGTATTTTGCGCCCTAGGCAAGGTTTACAAGTGTGTCGCTTTTTTAAACTCTTTTGTTCTGTGGGCACTAAGAGGCTACTGGATCGAGCAGATCAGCGATCTGCTCGATCCAGAACATCGTTATGTTTCTGTGGCCGACGTTAGAGGGCATCGGTGATGTGTTTTTATCGAAGATGGCGATATCGGATATTAAACTACCAAGACGATTACCCTTACTCGTTATCGAAGGCGTGTTTTTTCCCGGGGCATCTATAAGGATACCCGTTAATTCGTATAAAAATATGAATATGGTTAAAACTCACCTTCTAAGTAGGAGTACCTTAGCAAGTGCAATTATTGGAGTAGTACCTAGAGAACCAGGATCATCTGGAGAAGATGATATCAGTGCCATGCATCAAATTGGAACTGCAGAAATTGTTGTTCAAGTTACTGGTACTAATTGGCCACGACCAGCATATACACTACTAGTTACTGGTCTATGTCGCTTTAGATTAGAAGGTCTAGTGAAAGAATCTCCTTACCTTATTGGAAGTGTAAGACAGTTAGATAAACTTTCAGGAGAAGAAACTGAAAGTATTGAAGTTGAAGCAGAACTAAATGATTTAATGGAACAATTTAGAGAACAAGCTATTAAATTGATTGATATGCTTGATTTATCAGTTCCTGCTGTAGTTCGACTAAAAAGATTATTAAATTCTCTACCTATTAAAAGTTTACCTGATGTCTGTGCAGCAATAATTAGAGCATCACATGCAGAACGTCTTCAAGTATTAGATGCTGTTGATTTAGCCGAAAGGCTAAAAAAAACTCGCCTCTTTTAATTAGACAAATTGAGGGTTTACAATTATTACAAAAAGCTAGAAAAGATGGCGATATTTCTAGACCTGTCACTTTGGAAAAAATAACACCAAGCAGAGGAAGACAAAGATTAGATATAGATGATGATGATTTTGAAGGTGGTGATGAAATTGCTATTTTAGAAAAAAAACTCAGAGATACTGAAATGCCTGATCATGCAAAAAAAGTTGCAATGAAAGAATTACAGAGATTAAAGAAAATGCTTCCTCATATGCCTGAACATGCCATGACAAGAAATTACATTGAACTTATGACAGATCTTCCATGGTCTAAGCAGTCTTCTGAAATGCTTGATATAAATAAGTCAAGAAAAGATTTAGATGCTGATCATTATGGCATGGAGAAATTGAAGAAAAGAGTTTTAGAATATCTTGCTGTTCGCCAATTGAAAAATACATTGAAAGGTCCCATTTTATGCTTTGTAGGACCTCCTGGAGTAGGTAAAACAAGTGTGGGAAGATCTATTGCACAATCATTGGGAAGAGAATTTCATAGGATATCTCTAGGTGGTGTTTGNAATTGCTGAATTCACTTCTAGTAAACTTTTGCCTTCTAATGAGAAGGTAAAAGTCTACTAGAGGTCTACTTCTGTTATTTCAAACATTTTTTTCATAGTTTTATTTAATATTTTGTATTTTTTCGCCAACGATTTAAAACTGAAACCAACTATTATATTGAGGGCATACTTTCGCGAGATTCGTTTGTCTTTATCGTCTAGTTGTACTGTACATTCGATCAACTCAAATCTGGCATTCCACTACTTTCACAATCGTTTTCTAATCTATCCACTATCCTGTAAATTCTCTTCCATTTTAAATCAGCAGTCCGAGTTTCTTTTTTTGATATCTGGATAAAGCTGGAGTCACACTTATAGATGTGACCGAAGGGTCGGCACCTCTTCGATGCCCTATCAGGATGACACCACCGAGTCTCGGCGGACACGGATAGGTCATGCGAGCGGTCGCGTAACGGAGCGATCAGATTCGGGAAGGAGGGAGAGACAGCGCACCGGAAGTGACTTACTCAAAGACGGGTTAACGTAACAACTGTTTAATGGGTAACGAGAGGCCATACAACATTTCGATTTTAACTATGCTAGCTTTTTGATACATTTTTACGATTTGATAGATATTAGATATATTTGATATTACGGTTTTTCCGATTCCCGAGAGAGAGAGAGTTTACAGAAGTTTCACGTGCCGATAAATATCTTTTATGATATCTTGATTGAGATTCTTGACTTGGGGTTGAGATTAGGACCTTGAGGGTGAGGATTTTGATTGCTGGCTTGGTTTGGATCAAGAAAGTTCTTCTAGGCACAATGGAAAGTAATGGGAAAAATCCGACAGGGTACTGATTGAGCACAGAAATTGTCACTGACACACCGAAAATTTCGCTAACTTTAATCCAAGAGGGAAGGGCGACGACTGCGTCACTTTGTTGTTCTGTTCTAATGTTATAATGTTGAAATCGAGATATTAGGTCGAAAGGTGATGAGAAAGTGTCGTTATTAGGCCTGAGAACTTAACAGATGTTTAGCTCCCAGGTGTAAAAGTTGACATTTACATTGTTTTTTGTTTACATTTACATTTACATTTACATTTACATTTACATTTACATTGTTTTACATTTACATTGTTACATTAATTGTATTTAACGGAAGTATAACTACGATGTGATATTATGATGTACAGTAACACCTCGACTTACGCTACCCCGACTTACGCGAACCCGGAGTTACGCGATTTTCAAATCTCGTCGATTCGTCTTTTGTTTGAGCGACACGTAACTTTTGATTACTCACTCCCCTCACACTATTGTTCAGCTTACATGCTCGGAGGTGTCGCGCAGAATGGACGCATAGGTACAATTTATTTTGTGTTATTTATTTCTGTGTTTGTTATATCTACGGAGACTCGAGAGACTCTACTATGTCATCCAAACGAATTAGAACTGATTCTTCCGCATCAAACAAGAAAAGAAAACTTTATCTTTGGAATGTAAAGTTAACATTATTAAAGACTTCGATACAAAAATAAAAATTTGTGAATTGGCAAAGAAGTTTTATCTACCGGAATCGACGGTTGGAAACTTGAAAGAAAGCCTCAATTCAATTGAAAGAGGGTTACAAATTTTAGAAAATATAGACTCCAACGAAGAGCGCGTTTCTTCTACAAAACGAGAAATAACAAAATTATTAGCATGCTACGAAGAAATTTTGCGGGAGAAAAATATATCTCTGAGCCGTCAGACGAATTTGTTAGATTTTATGAAGCCTTCTACATCAAAATAACTTCGGTTTACGATTTTAATAATATAATTTGTTATACAGTACATATGTATTATCTAAGATTTTATTAAACATTTTTTCTAAATTATTGTTCTCTTTAATGTCCGGCCTCGATTAAAAATAATTTGTATGTATTTATATGCGAAATTATACCCGACGACTTACGCGGTTATCGTTCAATCCCACCTATCGCGTAAGTTCCGGGTATTACTGTGTGAGCCACCGGGTGGTAATAGGAGTCCGCTCCTTCCGGCCACAGGTCGGTGACCTACTTTTCTGTCAGGGATGGCGTTTCGTCCGGTTACGCGTTACGCGAGTAGAGGAGAGTCGGAGGGGTCGACGGTAAGGCGTGAGCAAAGTCGAGTAACGACACCATTTAACAACAAATAACGGTTTATTTAACGCGCTAACTACATAAAAATTTTACAAAACTTCGCGAATGAGAGAGTGAGTTTACAATAATATTTCATACCTCTGTGATAGTATCGGACGGATACTTCAGCTTATTCGAAAGGGTGGTGAGAGTTGGCAATAGGTCTTCTAATCAGTGTAGTTCAGCAGGTCAACGGGAAGTGAAGGTCCTTTTTGGCCGTTCGATCGGTGACTCCCCCGATAGGGGAAAGAGGATGGCTTTTATACGTTTTTTGTGGGAAAATTCGTCAGGTGACCATTGTTTTCGCAGGTGCGGGGTTAAAGTTGGTGTAAGAATGACAACAATATGACGAATTTCGTCGATACCTGTAAACTATTTACGGCTTGATTGTGCGAATGTTTATAGTTAAATAGAAAGAGTTATAATTTTCTTATGCACCTAAATTTCGTTTCTGCAGGTGCATCTTCTTATTAAATGAATTTAATAAAATTTTAAAGGATTAAATGCTTTTATTATATTATATAGATCTCGAATTTCACTCGATTAAAAATAATTTGTATTTATATGCGAAATTATACCCCGACGACTTACGCGGTTATCGTTCAATCCCACCTATCGCGTAAGTTCCGGGTATTACTGTAATCATATAAATATACTGAAAGTCTGGATTCGGATCCTCACATAGAAGAGCAAAGCTCACCTATCGGAAATGGCAATTTTCCATTCAGTGTGAATTCCGTGTTTCGCACGTAAAATCGTGAAAAAAGAAAAACGGAATAAAAAATTAACAAACTTTTCGCCATCTAGAGTATCAGTTGACATTGCTAGCAGCGATGCACCTATCAGCGGAAGTGGCAGCTGGGCAGCTCACGCGGTTTTTCGTTTCCAGCCTCGGGCAGCACAACAGCGACATCAGTGTCATAGTAAACACGTCATTACTCCCATTGGTCAACATCTACATTTTACGTGACCAGAAAAAATTTTCCACTGAGCAGTCGATTTTTCGGAAAGTTTACGGGTAAGGGGCATAAAATTTTTCTGGTTTTGACTATCAGTTTACGTTTTCAGTGGTGTTTTTCTGTAAGTGTGACTTCAGCTTAACGCTCTCAACATTATTTGTATTTTTCAATTACTGTGTTTCTGTTTTCCTCCAATCGTCGTGATAATTCTTAAGAAATAACTGATAACTTTCAACTGATATTTGGTATCAGTTGAAAGCAGATGAGTTTCTTGTTCTAATTAGATTCATTCTACTCTAGCGTATGCGTAAAAAATCCAAAAAAAATAAACGTTTAAGTTATATATATATATATATATATATATATATACATGTATTTTAAACGGTAGTTACGTTCTGAAAAAGTGCCATGTTATGCGAATCCGTGCTATATGACTAATGCAGAACAGGGATACGTTCCAGAAGTTAGCGAAAGTAAACAAAAAAAAAAGAAAAAAAAGGAATAGTATACTATTCCTTTTTTTTCTTTTTTTTTTGTTACTATGTTCTGCCAGAGGCTGGAAACAAAGACCGCGTGAGCTGCCCAGCTGCCATTTTGACACTTCCGCTGATAGGTGCATCACTGCTAGTAATGTGAACTGATACTCTAGATGGTGAAATGTTTGTTTTTTTTTTATTCCGTTTTTCTTTTTTCACGATTTTACGTGAGAAACACGGAATTCACATTGTTTATTAAAGCAATTGATAATTTATTTCAATCAATAATTAATTAATAACGAGCAATTATTTCTTGAATTTGCTTTATGTCTGGTTGTTATCTGTTAGTTTTATTAATGGCCATCAACATCGGTTGTAAATACTAGACACATTATACACAGAATAAGAAATATAGCCCGATTAGGAAATCATCAACGTTTATTCGTTTATATTAACTGGGGAATGCATTTCAAACATTATTGCCTCTCATAACCCTATACAAATTATACATTGCAAATAATTGTGCATCTTTTTAAACACATGAATATGCATACATAGATAGAATTTCGCTTACACATTTTGATGATGACTACCTTATCCATTTTTGAAAAGCAACCGTTAACTTTTTAACCATACAACCACAGAGGTCAACATCATTAGAACCACATTTTTCACTTTCAACCATCTCCAGTTCCAAAGTACAGTACATTTTATAGCCCCATTCCCTTTCATCCTTGTTTTTACACTTACTTAATTGCGTGTCTTCCCTCTAGTGTTTAAAATAGGTTACCAAGAACTGTGTAATTGTAAGCCATTATTATTAGTAATTTTTTCTGTTTCTTTTAACTTTATAATTTCGACATGTTTATAGTCANTATTAAAACTTAATTATATACTGTATTTTTTTTTAAATCTATCAACGAGATTGCAAGGCTGCTGATTCTCTTTCATGCATTAATATTCGACTTCTTCTATTCCTTCTCATTTCTAATTTTTCTTGTAATCCTTGAACCATTCTAGCTTTATTTAACGTTTGAGCTTTCTTGAATTCTTCCATTTCTGCAGCATGACGCTTTCTCAATTCGTCAATTTTTCCTATGTAAAAAGTTTTATTATGTAGTTTTATAAGTGGCATAATAACACAGAAGTAAAAATAAACAGTCTTACCAAAAATTTCCTCGTTACTAGGCATAGGAGCCAAATCTGATATCGGTAAAGGAGTAGGTAACGTAGATAAACGAGGATCCGTCATTAAAAATCCTTTCTGTAAGTGTATAGTTATTGTTAGAAAAAAATATATCGGCATTATCACATATTATTAATAATATTTAATGGTGATTGGAATGAATACAGTTAATATTAAATATTACTAAGTATTTCTTTTGCGTAAAGATATATAGCTCGGTAAATAAACTAAACATATCGATTTAACTATAAGCGGATTTTTATTTACTAAGGATCGATTCTTAGAAAAGTAGTCATCAATATGTCTCATTGAAAAAAAAAACTTTTCTCGAAATTCTTAACTTCCATTGAAAATATCAATTTAATGTGTGTGTTCATTTACTTTCTTTGAAATACGCTTATTCCTTTATTCTGCTAAAGTTTATTACTTAATGCAATTATAACTAAACTTCTCACTTTCTAAAGATTGAGACGAGTTGCTAGTTCATATTAATTGGTCAAACTATTACAAATTATCAGCAGCACAAATACGTTTTTTGTACAGCAGTTTAGTGTGATTTAATGCTCATTCCTCATTTAATATTACTTTATTACGGTTCCTATCATCAGCGATTTAATANAATGAATTTAACTTATCCACCGGATAAAGGCAAATAATATCCATAATTTTATATAGGTGACACACAAAATTTCATTAGTTAATCAAATCAACAGATACTCTTGTGTATACTCAATAAATATAATTAACTGTATAATATAATTGAATAATAAAGAATATTAAGCAAGCTCATTATGGGTTCGGCCAGGCCCACAATGAGGCGGCCGGGTGGTGAGGGACGGGGCCGACATATCCGAACGGACCACTCCAAAAAATTCCTGAGGATTATCCGACCCATCCGGATTTCAGATCCCGAGTCCCCCAGAGCGTTAGGCTGCCACCTCGACCACTCGGCCATCCGGCCAAGTGTGACCCTTATTTCACAAGTTAAATATTTTTTAAAATAAAATTTTAAATATATAAAATAAAAAATTATTTTGGCATGTTTTGTCAATTTAATAATATACAAAGTTATATACAATCTGTATAATATATGAAAATCAAATTTAAATTTTTCTTGCCTTCAACTTTGCAAAATTTTCTATTTTTTTATTTAAATCTAGCGTAGAANTAAGTATATGCCTAATAATAATAAAAATATCTTATAAAATCATTTAACCAAATTTATAAATGGGTTTTCAACAAACAAATAAGGAGATTTATTTTAAACAAATAGAATAAAACCTTTAAATCTGTTTCAAAGGTATAAAAACATTTCATTCCAACACAAATCATAAATTTCTCATAGGCATTTATGTAATTTATTAAGATTTAAAACAACAGAAAGACTGGAAAGTTTGTCTCACACCCGTATGTATAAAAAAAATCTTAAGTAGCCATCCAAAAGCAGTTCCAAAATTACGGTAACAATTTCCAAAGCAAAACAAAGTGTCAAAAGAATTGGGCATCATCTTCCAAAGATTATTATAATTCGTGAAGATCGCCATCTTGTATTAAGCACAAGAAAACGTAGAAAGCATTAATCACTCCGAATGATTTTCGAACATCTCAATGGTTATTTCAATGCACCAATAGAAAATTGTTTTAGGATCCAAATTATCAAATTTTAGATATTCAAAATGTTTGATCTGATCCTAAATATTTTATATTATTAGACATATAAATATTCGGTTGAAATATAGAAAATTAATCATAATGAAAATTAATTTTTTAAAATGTAATTCAGTTTTTGTTAAAACACAAATGAATTGAGAGAGCTTGATGAAAAACTGACACATTCCTCTCAATTAACAAATTTAGATGTGTACANTGTATAATATATGAAAATCAAATTTAAATTTTTCTTGCCTTCAACTTTGCAAAATTTTCTATTTTTTTATTTAAATCTAGCGTAGAAGCTAGCTCTTGTTCGATTGATACTGTTTCCAAATCTGTTAACTTGCTTTGAGACATTGTTGAGAGCAAGTATGTTTTAACAAGTTTTAACTCTGAAAAACTACTTTTTCCATTTGCTACTGAAACTGGAATTGTCAAGAGAATTAGTGCAACAAAAACTTTGGACATGTGGACATGCACTCTACAAGCTTTTCCTGTACTATAAAGAATAGTATTTCTAGTGGTGGCATGATTTGGAAGTCTTCAAGCTATTGCTTGAAGTTTACTGCAGAGATCCTCGGCATCAATAACTTTATTAGAATTATGAGTCAAAACATTTACAAGATTTTTGAAACCGTTTAGTACATCGGCAGTTGTTTTTTCGGTGTTGTTATATATATCATAAAGAAATCCACAGAACGTTATGCTGCTGTAGTTGTTCGAACATTTTTTCAATTGACTATATAGCCATACCCAAGACGGAATAGTAAAATTCTATTTTGAATTTCTGCTGAGGATCTTGCAAAGCTTAACCTTGAAATTCATATTCGAACTGTGTGCTTTATTTTCTCTTTCTGTTTCTTTGTATTTCAAAATTTGGTTGAATCTCCAGTTCTTTTGCAATTTCAACAGCATCAGTCAAAATTTTTTCAAAACCCTTATCAGTTCTGCATTCTAAAAGGTATTCTTCGATTACTTGTAGTTGGTTCGTAACTGAATTTAAATCATCCTCTTTTCTCTATTATTTTACTTAAAATGTTTACTTCATAAAGGACGTCGTACTTGTACCACGCGACAAGGGATGCAATGAACTTAAATTTGCAAATAGTCAGCAAGGACTTTTGCTTCATGTCGGATAGTATTTCCAGTTGAATTATTTAATCTTGGGTCATGGAAAATTTGCATAAGTGCATCATATATACCGACAAGATGGTACATTAGTAATTTTAAACCTCCATCTTGTGTTACTCAACGATTTAATAGTCAACTCAGAAATACAAGTAGAAAGAATTTGCCAACGATCAGTAGATGCAGAGAAATAATTAAAAATCTGTTGAATTCAAGTAAAGAAGCTGATTCCGTCTAAACAACATCTGGAAGCGTCATTGACCATTAAATTAAAAGAATGTGAACTACAAAGAATAAAGAAAGCCCGAGGATTTATATCTAAAACCCTGCAATTCTCTTCTTGTTTAGTCTTGTATTCAATTTATGAGCTCTATGATGACCTTTCTTTTCCTCTAGACTTATTGCACCATCATTCAGAAACAGGGCAAGCTTTATAAAATCATATTTTTTTTTTTCCTAGAGTATGCAATTTGGACTTCGAGTCCCTTATCAACTTTTTGTGATGTAACTGTTTAGGAAATAATACATACAAGTTAACATAAAGTTTTTCACTGTTCCAAATTTGTAAAAAAATTTTAACTTACATGGTTATGAGAAGCACAGAAATGGTGACGATTAATAAAATACGGATGACAATTATTAATTTACAAGTATTTGCTATAACAATAGTAGAATGTTAATGATTTACAAGAAAAATATATAACATAGATGTAAAAGTTGTGAACTTACATTAGATATGACGATCCGATACATAAATTAGTATTAGCTGTGAGAGGCAAACAATATATATATAATAAGTACACTGTTAAAACCATAACATTTAAAACAGTGACATTGCAAACTGTTTTACCATTATAACGATAAAACAGAATAATGAAGTAAAAAATCTGTTCACTGTTAAAACAATATGATTATAAACTTATTTACAGTAGAGTCGTAATACGATGAAACGATTTACAGAAATAACAAGAAATTTGCCGCCATTTACCTATTTATTTAAACACTCTCCTTACCCCTCACGCCCCCTCTTGGTCAAATATTGATAGCATGTTTTATGTAATTTTTTACCAATATTTTTATTCATAATTTTGTCTTTGTTTTTTAGTATTTCTAAATGTTCATACCATCTCCTTTTTTGTGTATTAGATTCTTTCTTAACAGTTTTTACGGTTGTCCCTAATAATTTGGCAACCTTCACTGTTACAATGAACAGCAACAGCCGAACTACTATTATTACTTTTAATCCCGGATAAACAATTATTGTTTTAATGGTAAAACAGTTTGTAATGTCACGGTTTTAAATGTTATGGTTTTAACCCGATTCCGACCAGCTAAACTTCCTCCGAATTTTGAAATTTTTTCCTGTAATTTCATTCTCATGTTTTCCTTTTTGACGGAAAGAACCTCTTTATTGTTTTCGTGAGACTTTAAGTCTTGCTTCGAGTTTTAATTTCGAAAGGTGAGAGTTTTACTGTCCCGCCGGATGTTTTTGAACCAAATTTCGAGTTCGTCCAGGGCCTCACACACAGTGCGCTTGCCGTTACCACATCCATCTGCCTAAGGTACTATACATGGCCCGACGGCTAGTGCTTCTTTTCGGCTATGTTTGCTTTCTTGTTGTCCATCGTATTGTTCACACAAGCGTACAATAGTTAGGGTGAACTAATATGATACAGCTATCCTATTTAAGAAAATCTGCATTGTTTCTAATATGTTCAGAAATATTTTGATAACGAGATATTTTATTTCAATTTATTACATCTTTAGATTTAATACTAAACGAACGAATCGTGGTAAATTTTGAAATTCTGATAGTGGTTTTTAATTAGCTTTATCTTTTATTTTCCGTATAAACGATATTATCTTTTGATATAATAAAATTAATGTTCGGTTGATTTCCTCTTTACAGTTTCATGTTATATTTTCTGATATAATTTTTAACCTTGAAAATTATTCCAATCAATGTGTTTCTTCACTATGACTTCTATTTATATAGGAAGAAATTTTACGACGTTCTAAAACAAGAATACCAATTTGTGAATTTTTGTTTTAAAATACAGTATTATGGTGGAATCTGAATACATTTAGCTATGAACTACTGTATTTTTGGTCCCTGAATTGGGTTTGATATTGTTCTATATTAATTCTATTTGCTAATAAAAATCATTTATCTTTAATTTGGTACAAAGCTTTCTTATTTACCTTTAATATATATATTTAATACTTTTAATATTTTATCAAAGTCAAAAGTTGTAACAATTTTATTTTATTATTAAAAGTTGATTCATTTTTTCAATAACATATATGTTTCTTAACTCTTTTTGACTCTTTTGTTATGTCATCATTTATTTCCAGAACAAACGTCTTTGTTTGATCCTACGAACTCTATCATGATTTTTTTAGTCTTCCTCTTTCCATTTGCCTTAAATCTTCTTGTTCACTTTTGGTATATTTTTGATTATCATCCAGATAATCAAAAATAACAAAATATTTAACATTTTTTTAAACAATAATTTTTAGACTATATAGCATAAATATATAATGGATTTTAATATATTATATTCATATCCAGATTTCATATCATAATACAGTAGAACCTCGATTATCCGGACTAATTGCGGATAAAGGTAGTCCGGATAAGGAAAAATCCGGATAATGGAAACAAATACTTTAATTTGTCTTTTAATGATAATACAACACGTTTCCTTTTCGATGAAATATCGGTAATATTAAAAGTAAATACTGTATTTAAATCGTGATCAAATTTTCAAAAAACAAATGTTTGTATTAAATTTGGACTACTACTGACCAACGCTAATAGACTATCTATTGTTTAAAAGGCCCTCTGATGGCGCAAGAAGACGGATTTTATAAAATAAAAAGCAGTTTCAACTGCTTTTTATTTTATAAAATCCAGTTGAAACTGCATTTTTATGAATAAAAATTTGACAAACTATTTATCGTTTTACGACGAGTAAAATTTTTTCGTCGCGTTCGCGGCTTTTAAGTAATGCATAAACCTTCGAGGCGCGAGGCCCTTCGGACCGCGAGGCATAGGCGGTGGCCC